CCCCAAAACCCCAAAACCCCAAAACCCCAAAACCCCTTCCGTAGTGGTTAAAATTGTAACAATAATAATATTTAATGATAATGAAGATTATTGGTATGAAAGGATCGAAAGAAATCATTGTATGATTTATAGTATTGTTGTGTATCAGTTCGACTGTTGGCCTTAAGTTGCTCAACACTGGTCTCCCTACTTTAGGGGAGGCTGAGCCAAAACCTAATGATCACTTCAAAAGCTTCTCAACAATCTGTAGACAAAAAGGCTACCCCTTCGAACAACACAAGCTCAAAACTTATGATGGGTATTTCTTGACCGTGTTCAGAATTCCTGGCGCTAAAGGAGAGCTGCTCGAGCCAGCCATTAAGGCTAACAAACCAGTTGTGTTGTTGTGGCACGGTCTGCTTGACAGCGCTGACAGCTGGATCATCAATGACGAAGACAAAGCTCCAGCATTGATGCTAGCCAATCAGGGCTACGATGTGTGGTTGGGAAACTCCAGAGGAAACAAGTATTCCAGAGAGCACAGGTTCTTAGATCCTGACAGAGACGAAGATAAAGCTTCGTTCTTTGGCTTCAACATCGAAGACATGGCTAACCACGACACCAACTCAACAGTCGCATATATCAGACAAGAAACAGGAAAGAGGTCTATCGGAGTCATTGGCCATGGAATCGGAGCGACACAGTTCTTGCTATCACCACAGACTGGAATTGAAGTGTTGGTTACTCTCGGAGCTTACTCGTCTCTGAACCATACTCAAGAAAAATTGATCACAACCCTGGCTAACAATCCGAAATTAATTGAAAACCTCAAAGATGCCAAAATGTATGAGGTGTTCGGAGAAGACTATGTCTCCAACAAAATATTCTCAGCAATCTGTGAGAACTCTCCGTCTGTGTGCCAGTACTTGCTCGAAGACATCATGCTTGTCGAATCTGAGTACATCAACATTGACAGAGTTGATGAGATGCTATCCCTATTTCCATCAGGAACCAGCCTGGAGAACTTAGAGCATTTCGTCCAAATATACACTACGAAGAAGTTCCAGAAGTATGACTATGGACTTGAGCTTAACAGGAAGATCTACGACCATGACATTCCTCCTCTATTCGACCTGAGTGAATCTCCGAACTTCAGAGTGGTTCAGATTGTTGGGGAAGAAGACCACATTTCTACGCCTCTGGACAACCACTGGTTGAATTCTCAACTGGAGTCCAGCGTAGAGTATTACGGAAGTTTCAGGATTGGGCACTACAGCTTCATACTTGGCAAGGACATGAGTTACTTGGAGGAGATCATCAAGCTATTCAAGCAAGATCAGTGGAGTTAGTAATTCTTGAACATAATACATCCTAAATCCTACTTCCGCCTCTTTCAATTAGGTTGCTGACAATTTACATTCTCGATGGGAATAGCGGTAGCTTATTTCTGTAACTTCGGAGTGGAAATTTTTGATTTTCAATTTGATAATTCATCAAAGGGGTTTTGGGGTTTTGGGGTTTTGGGGTTTTGGGG